GGAATCGGGATTGGGGAATCGCGCGGGAACCGGGCAGGGATCGGGGTCGGGTAATCATGCAGGAAGCGCGGGGATCGCGTGGGGATCGCAAAGTCATGGGAGGGCAGGAAATGGGTGTGGGTAGGCAGCGGGGGGAAGAGAGGATCGGGGGGCGGGGGGGAGAAGAAGAGAAGGAAAGAAGAAGAATAGGAAGAAGGAGAAATGACAATGATGATGAGGAAGAAGAAGAAGAAGAAGAAGAAGCAATGGCGTGAAAATGCGGCGAAGGGGAATCGAGGGGGGATAGGAGAAACGAGGAGGATGGGAAAATAAAGGAAAAGTGGAAAAAAATAAAAAAAGAAAATCTTAAGGGTTACTTACCTGCACGGTGGTGTCAATGACGTGGCAGCGACGACAAGGACGAGGCAACGATGACGATGATGTGGTCACGATGACGATGACGAGGCACTGATGAAGACGATGATGATGTGGCAATGTCGGCATCGAAGATGGCGACGACGGGGATGACGCGGCAACAACGATGACGAAGATGATGATGACGATGAAGGCCTGGAGCGGCGGCTGCTCCATGTCCATCAGGGTGGGCGGGAGCGCGACCGACTCCGCTCGGATACCAGTGTGACGGGGCTGAGGCAGAGCAGCGAGGCTGGGAGAGAGGGAGAGTGAGAGCACACACACACTCACTCAACTCGACGCAGACTCGACACGACTCGACGGATGCAGACACAAAGTGGCAAAGTCGCGAAGTCGCAATCTTGGATTCCGAACACAATGTTGCAGCAAGTCACACTGGAGCACAAACACTGAGGCCAAAAACTGAGTGCCCGAACTCAGCTTGGGTCCGGTCTTAAGTACCGGACTCAAGTTGAGTCCCGAGCGCAGACGTGCAATGTGCCTCGGGGCTGAACTGGAAATCGAAGGTCTGAGCCAGGGTGCCAGAATGCCGGATGGTGCCAAGTATCGAAATCCGAAAGTGCCAGAGGAGGGATTTGAGAACGGGCGCCAACTGCAGAGGGCGCCAACAGTCAGGAACCGGAGATCAGAGACTTAAAAAACAAAATAGCAGCCTGGTGGGTGGTAACCATCCGGACCAGGGATTGAGCCCTGGCTGTCTGTAACAGTCCCTTCCTGGGAGCTGGGCTGCACACCACGCTCTGCTGTGCCCCATGATACTGCTGGCTGCCCAGTGTGTTATCTGCCTCGGCCTGGTCTGGGCCCTACGGGTAGGCAGTCCCCACCCACCTGGATCCTGGCCCAGGGACCTGTTCGGTCTGGGTCATGGCTCGGAGCCTACGGGGTCGTTATGTTGTTGGCATGCATTGGGTGCAGGTTTGTCTCAAGCCGTGGCCTTCTCTTAGCACATGCCTGGATTTGTCAGCCCCAGTTAGAGTGTCTATGAAAGACCCATGCACAAAGTTGTCGAAATATCTGGAAATCTATACGGTGAAAGATTGCAGAGCATTCCAAAAACTTGGGAAGTCATCAGCCTGTTATCCCCGGCTTACCTTTGATCCGTTGAGCAAGAGCCCTTTGACACGGGCCCTCTGGATCACCATGGCCAATTTTCGTCTCTGTTTGAGTAGTAGGTCTCACAGTCAGGCAGACTTTGACCATCAAACTTTACGACTGCGTTTTGCGATAGAAAGCTCACTTTTGTCTATCAGGGCTGGAAAATCTTGGCAGCCCAATGTGCAAGGCTTTAACAAAGCTTCTGTTTGGATGCTTGAATCTTGCTGTCCTCTGAAGGTAACAGCTGTGAACTCTGTCCCTGTTGCAGCTTCTGTCTATGATTTCCCTGCAGCTGTGAACTTTGTCCCTGCTGCAGCTTCTGTCTATGATTTCCCTGTATGGTTTGTGAAACAGAGCTGAGCTTCGTTTGAGACAGAGTCCACGGAACTCAAACCTTGTTTGCTGATGACTGAAACCTGTGATCCTCTCTGGTGCTGTACAGGGCCCTGCCGAGCTTCGTCTCAAATGTGGTCACCCAGTTTAGATTGCATTGCTCAGTAACTCTGCTGCACTGCCTTTAAAAGTCTCGGGCGTTCTTCGGTTAAAACTCAAGAAAAGGAGTCGGGTTTCCCCAGCTTAGTTCTCCATCCAATGCTTTGAGCCTCCTTGTTCGTCACCTCCTTGTTCGTCAGGATCTCCTCTTGCATGCTCGATGGAGCAGCAATCTTCTTGAAGTATAGTCAATTTCCCCCTGGCTTGGCTATTTTGTCTGCTTGACCTAGTTCCTCCTGACAGAGCCATCAGCATCGAGGCAATTATGTCCTCTCAAATTAGAACTAAATGCGTCAGCATTGATTGATGTCATGAGGATGCGAGGAGGTGTGCAAACACCCGTTGCCCAACCCTGTCCTGGCTATTGTATGCACGCTGTTCCACTCGTATTGCAAGGATAATCAATGACATTGGGACTTTGCTTGTTGCGGGAATGATGTTGGGGATCCTGATAAGGCCAACTGGAGGAAGAGGAGGATCGCATGTGTACAAAATACAATCTGATTGGCAGACCCCAACAGCAACTGATTAAAGAGGTCTTGAACGAGAGACTGAGAGATGAAGAAAAAGAAGAGTGTTCTTCTCACTGTTTAAACACGTCTAGAGAACCAGATGATGGCCTTTGGATGGTGATCTGTCCTTCACCTTCCTTGCGGCCTGGAAGTGAGGGATCATTTGCCAAGTTGCGTGCTTGTGGTGTCAGCCGTGTGATGATGCTTATGGGTGCAAATATCTGCAGGAGCATACGAGCTTCATGTTGCCTCTACTGGCAAAGGTGAAATCCCAGGGATCTGCACGCACCATTTTATCTGTTCTGCCTTCCTCCTGTGCCCAATAATGAGGGCATATTGTTTGTGCTCTATCCGTAGTTTTTCTTAGGCTGTGAGGAAGGGCAGTCAGTTTGCATGCCTTCTTGTCCTACTTTCATGATGGATAGGTGAATTTTAATGATTGGTTTGGCATGTATGCGGTGTCCTTAATCTGGTGATTGTGGCAGATCACGGTTTATGCCAAAATGGAGCAGGTTCTGGATCGGCGTCTGTCTCCATACCCTCCAAGAAGCGGTCGTTGACTTCACGGCTACGAGCGGCACCGAGGAAGACTTATGCTCACATCTCTTCATTAACAACTGGGTTCTACGACGCTCAAGAAAATCATGTAGCGCATGAAGGAGTCACGTTGGCCATGGGGGTGCCAAATGCCGCCCCTCAGACAGTGCTTGTACAGGGGATTGGCCTTTGTAATGTTGTGGCCGATCCGTCAGCAAACCCTCTCTCTGTTATAGTTTCAACGGCACATGACGTAGTGGGGGTCGGATTTCCGCATAGAGTGGAATCCCCAGCTCATGTGGGACGACATGGTGATTTTCTGGAAGCAAACGAGTCAATGCGGTGTACAGGGATACGAGGGGCTGATGCCATTAATCTTGCATCTGTTCCAGCCAGTGACAGCGGGGGCGAGCAGGTGGCTGCAGAATCTGGTGAAGATCTTGCTCCGGAAGCAGCGGATGCAATGGCAGGAGGAAAAAGAACAGACAGTGAGGGAGCATCTGCGCCCAGTGGTGCTGGTGAGAGCAATGGTGGCGGTGGCGAAACATCTGAAAAGGCCAAGAAGAAGGTGAAGAAGGCAGACATACCAAAGGGATGGCACAGTGAAAAGCGTTCTAAGACGAAGAAGGTTGCTCTCCTGTGAGTGAGTTTTGGGCACCTTCAATACTCTTTCACAAGGTCTAGATGATGATGATTGCAATTTTTGTTGTTGTTGTTGTTGTCCTCGTGTTACATCTTTGATCACCACCTTGTGAATGTGTGAAGACACTGCTCGGCTTTGCTCTCTGCTGTGAGAAACTCTGTGCAGAGACGGGGTTTGTGTAGAGTATGGGGATAAACATCGCTCTGTAAAAATGAAAGGTGGAACATGTGCAATGCTGTCCTGCAGCCACTGTTTTGCAGCACCAGCAAGTGTACCGTACTTGTACATGTTCTATGTTTGTGTGGTATCGTGTTATTTCGAGGTTTGCTTGTTTGGCATTTCTGTTTTCTGACGAATGGCCTCAGGATAGATCTGCGGAAATGGCTACTGGGACTCATTTGCAAATGGCCAAACCGGTAGGCCTCAAATGGGCTGGGGAGCAGTAGCTTCTGGACAGTCCAAGGAGGAGGCCAGGAAAGTCCCTTGGAAATTGCATGGTACCGGCCATGGAAATTACATGGAGTCTGCCTTGGAAATTGCATTGCACTGGCTGTGGAACTTGCATTGCACCGGATGTGGAACTTGCATGGCCCGGCTGCGGAAATTGTTTGGTACCCTTGGGAAAATTTCGAGTTGGCCTTGCTGCGAAACAAATGGGCCTGATTTTTATTAAGGACTGGTACCGGTAGGCTCAAGAACTGGTGGGCCGAATTTGTGCAAAAGCCAGCCAGTAGCCCAGTCCAACACACAGTTCGGTGGGAGCTCGCCAGGGTGTTTCATCGCTAAACTGCTCTTGTGCTACTGCTGATGCATACCACGGCTTGAGCTCCTAGGCACTGATGGATACAAGGATGAAGACTTGTACGTTGTGCTGGATGCCACTTAGCACTATCTGGCCAAAGGACATGGAGAAGTCTTTTAAAGCAGGAAGTCCAGTTGCGAAAGTCGTTGAACCATATTCACTTGTGGAAGCATGCGGAAGTGCTGCTGTGCTATTTTTGGATACTTTGCTGTGCGCTGTGTTGTTCTTTTAGTAGGTAGTCAACAGCGCTGAGCTAGGCTGTGTGTGTGTATGTGTGTGTGTGTGTGTGTGTGTGTGTGTGTGTGAGAGAGAGAGAGAGAGAGGTTGGGGAGAGCGACCATACCCGGAAGAGCTTGTTTGGCAGACGGGATTACAGCTCTTCTACAAAGACAATTTTTGTGTGCTTAGGGTTTAGGTCACATAATAATGCAGCAGTGCTTCAAAAAAGGCACTCATGGAAAATTGTGGTGACGCTGGCTGCGACTTGACTTTTGTGCTTCCTGCAGTTCCAGAGTGCACTTTTCTTTCCTGGCCATGACTGGCCTCAGTGTTTTGGAGCATCAAAGGACTTTCCTGGGGGTGAGCTGCAACTGATCGAGACTAGCAGGCAACCACTGCCTAACGACCCCTACGGACTCAGGCCTACTGGTTCCTGTATTGCCTATTGTCCGGTACATACCGGAAGTCTAGTACGAGTCTATCGGTAAGGTATTGCAAGGAACCTGACTGTTCATAGCTTGCTGGAGTGTATCTCATTGCATGCATAGATGTCATCATACAGATAGAGAAACTTCACACGAAACCA